TAAAATTTCAAACGTTATTCCGGTTAATGTTACCAACATTACACGGTTAGTTATCCATAGTACTTCATATTAATAGGTTGTTCGGAAAGTTATTTTGTTTTTTTTGGGGAACATGAAAGACAGTTTATGAACATAACATAAAGACATGGCCATAAACAGTCGAATTCGACAAATTTAATCTCTCACCGATCTCTCGTGTGGTTGTTATTCGCCGATTTGCATCAACTAATGCTTTAACGTATCTTTGTCAGCTTCGACCGGCCTTCCAGACCGTGGTGCATCTTCGACATCAAAATTGCCGGATCGAAATATTGCAAAGCAGTTCTGGCACTGGTGTACTGTTAACACGCCTTCTCCATACACATCCGTCAATTTTTTTCCCGCTTGGACAGCATTTTTACCTTTTCTGAAGTAAAAAAGTAAAATATGACGAAAATGCTGCTTATTGCTCTCCATATTTAAAAGGGCACCAACCAAAAACTACTGTGTAGAATTAAAATAACTTTTTCACACACAAGCCTTGCAATATCGGCTCTCAAGACATATAATGGTTATGCGGCTTAAGTGTGAAGTTGGTTTCGAAAAAACGTAATTAAGTCCTCTGATGGGAAAAAACGAAATTACTTTCCGAACAACCCAATATAAAGATTTAGTTGATCACCAGTTTCGGTAATTCTTGAATTCTGTATTCGTCTACGGAATTGTTTTTGTTACATTACGAATTAGTTCTATGTTTTCAACCAGCTTTGAATTAAACAGACTAAAAAAAAAAACAGTTTTAAGACATCCGCAATAACTGACTCAGCGTAATCACTAGTAAGAACACAGATTAAAAAGAGACTAGAACATCCAAGACGTTCTTAAAACAAGCTCTCGAGTTACCATTGTCAGCAAAATGTGGCACCTAACCTATTTCACATCGACTGACCTGACATCAAGGAGTTTACGCAAGAGTCACTTCAAATTAAGAGCGCGGTCTTTACCTATTCAGATAAAATTTTAAATCATCAGCATGAAAATTCAAATAGAACATAAAGGTGAATAATGTAAGAAAAAACATACCTATTGGAAATTATGATGGATAGATGGAAGTTAGCGGTTATAAAACGGCTACACGAATCTGGATGAAATTTGTCACTACTGGAGATATTAAGAATCAAAACTTTAGTGTGGTATTGAAATATCAGGTGAAAAGATGGTGATTTTATAAACAAGAAAGTAGTAAGAAGAATTAAGCTTGAGGTAGACAGAGGAAAGTATGGATGTTCTGTGTGAAAGGAGATATTCTTAAGACGGGACATTTAAAGGTGGCAAACGAGTAAGCGGCCACCTGAATCCACCGAAATGGAAAGCGACCGCTGCCCATTAACATCCGCAATTGCAGATGCGTTGCCTACCCTTCATTGACGGAGGAGGAGACGCATATAATAATTTTTTTTATAGACATTTTCCCTTCTTATGCATGTCCTACACCGTCAAATCCACTTTACCACCCCATCCTTTCCTCTTAAGAAAAGGGTGGAAAGGGAAAAGGGACTGAAATCAAGCCACCGGCACCAACCAGGTGTACAGATTACTGTCTAAAATAGCGCATAGGCTACTTACAAAGTTTTTTTTTTTTTAATTTCGCGCTATGACACGGCGAAAATATAGTAAAACATTACAATATTTTACACGCCTGTAGAATAATTTACAATACGCAACAACAGATTGTCTAACGAAGCGTACAAACGTGGACCGCAGAAGAAATGTATTGCGGGAACATTATACAGGAAGCCACAGTCGTATGCAGTGGCGTTACATATCTTCACGCTAACGTTATAGGGGCAGGTAGGAAGTCACATGATATGGTTAGGTAACTATAATATAGCAGACACGCTCAGTTGATCTCGAAGTATAAAGAGTTATTTAAGTTTCTGTGTTACATTCTATTAAACCGTGAATTTTGACTGTCGTGATACTATCGGGGTATTTGGAGGTGTTGCACCTTTTAAGCTTTTGAGAGGCGTTTGTTTCGTCGCGAGGAACAAGGCAATGTTCTGAAAGTGGTACATCACGAACCGACTTGGTTGTACCTCTATTTCTTTTTCTAATACGGAGAAGTCTGTAAAATGTATACGAAAAGCGAGACAGCTGAAAATTACCTTTTTTTTTTCAATCTTTAATTCTCAGTATTATTATTTTATCGTTTGAAGACCGAAGTAAGTATTTTTTGTGCGAAAGAGGCTATCCTTAAGAAAGGAGTGTATTCAGATATGACGGCTGAAAGAGATGTGTGGAAGAGCAGCACATAATGTGCCGACCCTCCGTAAGGGATGAGGGCAAGTGGATGAGATGAATATTTTATCGTTTATTTTAGTGGTTAAATGTATTCATAATCTATCTATACCTTTAAAAACATTGAAGTGTCTATTTGCAAGATTAAAAGAAAAATTCCAGATTTCGGGAAGATGATGTATTTGCGTAGCTGATAACGAAAATCGCATTTAAAAACTTTTTTTCTGTCTAACTGTCCGTAAGTCGCGTTTATTCCGGGAAATCTTTAAAACGGCTAGCCGGATTTTGACCGGACTTTCTCTGAAGGGTAGCTGATCTTGATGGGCATATTATAGGCTTTTTGACCGACTTCCCAAAAGAAGGAGGTACTCAATTCGTCTGTATGTTTTTTTTTATTTATCTTAATATTGCGGGAACGAAGTCGCGGGCAACAGCTAGTTTAAAACAAAGTTTCATTCTCATGTATCAGCATTTATGCAAATGAGATATGAAATCTCAATTTCTCCTAGTTATCTTATAGCTGTCTGTCAGGGGCGGAAAGCGTGACGCTTGTAAAAGATAGCAAGTGTTCATGCTTCGTGTGTTGCCATACGTAATAGGAGACCTATCGTTATCAATACCTTGGCAATTCTCATGTGTATTAGTAACGTAAAACTTAAAGGCATAGTTATATTTTTCAATAAAGAAGCTATTTTTAAAAAGGGTTTTGTTATATGTGATTTTTTATTGATTACTAGCAGTTGCTCGCGACTTCGTCCACGCAAAATTAATATAAAAAGTAGCCTTTAATATGCTCGTCTATGTCAACTTCGCTTCAGTGAAAGTCTGGTCGAAATCCGTCTGGTGGTTTCGGAGATTACCCGGAACAAACGCGGCTAGGGGACAGACAGACAAAAATAGTTAAATGCGATTTTCGGTATCAGCAAGGCAAATACATCATCTTCCCGAAATCTGGAATTTTTCTTATGATTTCACAAACAGACACTCCACTTTTATTATATGTTATAAGGTTACAATGATTCAACATTCAAGTATCAAGAATATATTTTAAATATTCAAGTACCAAGAAGTGTTAACTAATGAAAGGTCATACCGAATGATATCACATAACTTCGACAACGTGCAATTCGATACGTAGCCAATTTGTTTTTACATTTGTATGACTTGCATTAACTTTTTTTTAAAACCCGACACCTCCTGCATTAGCTGACTCAGGAAAAGTAAGCAAAAAGATTACCTACCAACCCACCGCGCCACCGTGCAATACTGCGCCACAGTATAAAAAATACGGTACACCCATTTATCGCATAAAATCAAATTTTAATATTGTAAATTCTCTCCTTACTTAATTTACACTGCTATACCATTCCAATAACTGTACCTAGAATACTAGGGCATTTTTTTACGGCTCCATTGAGTAGTAATAGTGTACACAAAAATAGGATTCACGTAGTTCCAGTACTAATTTCCAGGCAACAGAGAAATGTCTTCGGATCGATGAGTGATTTTAATGTTAAATGGTTTTACTGTTATTGCTGCACTGTGGCACTGTAACGCGGCACATAAATATAGATAAGAAGATATTACGCTCTGATTGCTTCGCGCTGAATGCAACCACAGTTAGGATGTGTTGCGAGAACATATCTCCTATATACATGTATCTCTTCAACATATAAAGATAATGAACATTTTAGAGACTCGTTATATTTTAGGACCTTTTCCATAAATGTGCAATGGGATTACTGTAATAAATGCTGGCTGTACATATTGTTTAGGAATTACTGGACTTACAAAAAAATAAGAATTAATTTAAAATACAACTTTATGTAATTAATAGAAATTTTAAATAGATGTGTGGAATCTTAATAAATGTTGCCATTTTATGTAAAATCTGTTTATTCTTTTTGATATCATTGTCACAGCATCGATGGTTCAGTGGTAGAATGCTCGCCTGCCACGCGGGCGGCCCGGGTTCGATTCCCGGTCGATGCAAGTTTCTTTTTGTTTTTATTTTTTTTTTAAGTTTTTAAAGCGAATTTAAAATTCGTATTATTACCTCTTTCTCCCTTAAATTAACAAATATTAAAAAAAAAACAAATAGTTACGGTTGACTTCTAGAAAAAAATAGTTACATCTGTTTTTACTTACAATAAAAGGCAATACAGTCCAGGTGTTAGATAATGCAATATCAGATTCTAAAAAAAACGTGTAAATATGGTAACATTATCCGATGTCATACACAATACGATGACATATATCACGAACTCTGTTATACGTGGACTGTGTCTCTAAAGAATTAGAGCGGGCGCAATTCTTTGACTAAACTATCGCACAACTGTTATGCGATTGTCGTTTGTTTCTCAGCCAATTCAACTGTTTAGTTGCACAATTAAAAATCGAGTAGTGTTCGCACCTCCATATAAGGTGATGGAAATCAAAGCAAGACTAAATAGTTGTGCGATTGTTTAGTTGTACGTGTGTGGTGTGCACGCTCTAAATGTGCATGGTCAAGTAAATTAGCTCATTGCTAAAGAGAAGTTTATATTGATTTTTAGATTAATGCTTCCTACGAAAGACGATTAATTTGAAAGGTCAGTATAGGTAAAGAATTTTTTGGAATTAAAAAGCTATACCTATTCAAAGTAAATAGGTATTTTCTTTTGTATAAATAAACGACTGTGCGACGGTATTAATTCATTTATTTATTCTTACTAAAAACCTACCTCTTTGGTTTCCAACGTTTCATTAACACTCCAAACATCTTCTCAAAACATTGACACAATAGTAAATTCAAAAAACGCAGTAAAAGTCACGCAACATACAAAATACCGAAATATTATGAATGAAAACTTAATACGGCTTTGTCATTCACAAAATAAAATCACTGGCTGGGACAAATATAAACACACGAGTTTGTGTACATGATTTTTATCTCAATACTTGCACCCGCTTAAAAACACGACTGACCTAGACACACTAAGCGGCCCACATTTCGAGTGCCGCTAAAATCGATACATTTTCATAACAACACATAATACCAAACTTGAAGGACGAAGTTACATAATCTTCAGATATTCCGAACTCTTCTCACAAAAAGATGACTTTTTCATTCATGCCAGGCGTTAAAGTAAACAATTTTTGTGTAAACTATTGTAAATACGTACAACCACAAACCGGAGTTGGTCACAACTGGAATCGAGTTGATTTTTTTCAACAAAATATCGACATAACACTCGATCAATCAACAAACAGATCGACGTTGTCAAGTGCGGTTAATCAGCTGTTTCGCGAAATTGAATTTGCGACAGCGCCATCTATTGACATGTTTTTTGTAGGTTTCTTCTAAGTTTTTTAAGAAAGAAAATTGAATTAAATTAGTAAATTGAATAAGTAATACAGAAGAAAACAGAATTAAAGATATGAAAATATGTAAGAAGAAATTCATACACCGTCCTAATATAATTAAACAGTACAAACAGTCGCTATACTTTTTGTTATTTTGTGATGTAAATGACCTGTTACTGAAATTCCACAAAACACCTGAGCTAACGTTAGTTTACAATGCGGCGGAATAGATACATAGTTTGTCTTTTGTTAAAACTTAGATGCATTTGTTCAAACAAATGTTTTGAAACACACGTAGCTATAACATACCGTTAGGAAGATTGAGAAATAAAAGAAGTTGGTTTAAAAATTAATTCAAATTCAAATTTAGAATTAACTTTAGAACGTTATTTTTGTTACCTTTGATATAGCATCGATGGTTCAGTGGTAGAATGCTCGCCTGCCACGCGGGCGGCCCGGGTTCGATTCCCGGTCGATGCAAATTTCTTTTTGCAATTTTTTTATTTCATCCAAAATTTGCTTTTCAGAAGTCAAATATTTTGACTACACTGTACATCGTATTTTATTCATTTTCAATTTTTTCCCATCATTACCTAAACTTTATATTCTTTATTGAATAAAAGTTTGTAAATTGTAACAAGCGTTATAATAAATTTTAATATACCAATATTCCCGTAATTCGAATGGAAATCCGTTTGTCAAAGAATTAGGTTAAAAAACCCCAATAAAATGACATAACTGTTAAAAGCCGTTATTTAATGGAAACTGATTCAAAACGAGTTTCGCTAAAATGTCCTTGAGTATGCAACTGGTATACTAAAACGGGCCATCGTCTTCATCTTACCAACCTTCCGTAATTTTTTACAAAGATGTCACCCGCAAATTGTGTACAGCTAATTTATCTAGGTAAATCGTAAAGACGCGACAAACTATCAAACAAAATCTCACAATATGGCGTATATTTCTTTTTAATATGATTCTTCTATCATCAGTATTGAGTACTCCAGTCTCATCATCAACTAGCCCTTGTCCCTAAGGAGGGTTGGCATAGTATGTACTGCTCTTGTCGCGGAAGAAAGCACAAGCGTTCCCGTAACGCAGCCACTGGCGAACAGAAGGAACACCGCTGGGTTTTTAGTGGGTATTCCGGCCATCTTCCATCTTTCCGGCCGGCGAGTCCCACACACCCCTCCTGGCAACGGGCGCGATGCGCAAAGGCATTTTCCCAGCGAGAAAAAAAAAAGTATGTACTGCTCTTCCATACATTTCTATTGCCGTCATATCTGAATCTGCCTTCTTAAGCATATTATCTTTCACACAACCACCAAATATTCCAGTCTGCGATTGTTTATTAGCTGTACAAAAATAGGTAAAGTGTCACTAATAACAATCCGTTCTAGGCAAATTACAAACAGTCAGCTTTCAACATTTTCCGGTAACGGTACATTTATATGACGTGTGAACTTAAATGTTTGTTATATTTCGCAACTAATCAACGTTTTATCGTGCATTACGATTGCTTGGCGCCGTAATAAATTATCTTGTCTCTTTTTGAATGGTGCTAATCTGTTAAATTGCATTTTATAACTTCACCTTTCGTAAGTACTTAAGAATGAGGTCGTTAATTTAAATTTTATATGACAAAAACAAAAGACGAAACAAACGAAAGTCTGTTTCTTTTGTTTCCATGCGTTCAACTGGATACAATACATAGAAACGTTGGAATTTCTTAGGACACTAGAGAGCCATAAATAAAATCCTGTTAACAGTGGAAATGCCCCTTATTTTCTTAACCGCATTGAGAAACTGACGTCATTACATTCGATTGTCAACCAAATGCTCGCGATAAGTAGTTTATCTGTGTAGTTCCGATTCAATCTTGATAATTGACAGGATAAAGCAAACGGCACGTCTCGATTTATAACTGTTTCTTATCTTTTGCGCATTGAATAAGGATATAAATCAAATTATTGTTATAAAATAGATAATAGTTAAAGCGCGTTAACGTTTTCGCCGATGACATTGTTCTTGTTGGGGAAGATGCGCTTGAGGTCCAGAGCAGACTGGAGAGATGGCGGGATAAACTGGAGACAGCCGGACTAAAGATAAGTAGAGCAAAAACGGAGCAGTTATTCTGTGACTTCGGGGGCTTATCCAGTTTTATCCCGATTGCCTTAGATAGCGCTTATCTCCCAGTTTGCTCCGACTTCCGGTATCTCGGCTCATTAATCCAAAGCGACGGCTACATTGACCGTGACGTGACAAATAGAATAAAAGCGGGATGGATGAAATGGCGACAGGTCACAGGAGTAATATGCGACCCTCAAATTCCACTTAAATTAAAGGGGAAAATTTACAAGGCCGTCGTAAGACCTGTCATGATGTATGGATCTGAATGTTGGGCAGTAAAAGGGACGGATGAAAGAAGACTACATGTGACAGAAATGCGAATGTTAAGATGGATGTGTGGGGTAACACGAATGGATAAGATACGAAATGAGTATATTAGAGGAAGTTTGAGAGTAGCCCCCATACTAGAGAAGGTTAGGAGTAAAAGGTTAGCATGGTATGGGCATGTTATGAGGAGGGATGAATCGCATGTTACAAGGAGAACGTTAGTTATGAGTGTGGAAGGGTACATCGGTAGAGGTAGACCTAGAAAGAGATGGATGGATTGTGTAAAAGGTGACATGATCAAAAAGGGAGTGATGACTGAGATGACGTATGATAGAGTTATGTGGAGGACAAAAACCTGTTGCGCCGACCCTACGGGAGTAGGATAAGGAGATGATGATGATGATGATGATGATGAATAGTTAAAGCGCGTTATATTTATTGCTGTCACAATGCAATTTATTTTTGATTTTATTTCTTTTATTATACCAATTAGACACTAAAAAAGTGGCCACCGAAGTTGCGGATGAAAGGAGATTGCATGTGGCTGAGATGTCTATGTTAAGATGGATGTGTGGTGTGACAAGAATAGATAAAGTTAAGAATGTGTACATTAGAGGAAGTTTGAAAGGAGCGCCAGAGGTGGAGAAATTGAGAAAAGGTTATCGTGGTATGGACATGTTATGCGACGAGACGATGGGGTCAAACCAGAAAGTATTAAGAATGAATGTGGATGGTTACAAAGGAAGAGGAAGACCGAAGAAGGTATGAATGGATTGTGTAAAAGATGAAATGTTTAAGAAAGGAGTGGATTCGGATAGAGATGTATGGAAGAGCAGCACATACTGTGCCGACCCTCCTTAAGGGATAAGGGCAAGTTGATGATGAGACACTACTATATCACTTTGCAATTGTGTTTTCGAAAGGATTATCCTATACTGTTCTGTCTTCAGATTGCTGTTTACTAATCATCATAATCATCAACACTAGGCACGACAACTTCTTCAACCGTTCCCGAAGGTGGTATTGTAGTTGTGGTTGGCGTCGTAGCAGTTGTTGTAGTTGGCGCTGAAGTGGATGCTGAAGTTGTATCTGAATTAAGTGTTGAAGGTGACGTTATTTCTGAAGTAGGTGATGAAAATGCTGAAGCTGGTATTAAAGTAGGCGCTGAAGTAGTTGTTGAAATTGTAGTTTCTGTTATTTGTGTTGTTGCTTCAGTTGTTGGTCTAGTTAAGGTTGTTGAGGGCTCTGCTGAAGTCGTTAACTCCGTTGATAACGTGGTAAGTAACGTTTCACTGTTATTGACCACTGTAACCGTTTTATCTTCAACTGTTATATTCTCGACTGATGTATCTACGTCGTCATTTTTTGCCAAATCACTTAAACTTGTGTAATCAGTTGTTTCTTCTGGAAAAAATTCTGTTGTTAACTTTAATTCTTCGAAATCGTGTTTTATAATCTTGTTAAGCACTGAATTGATATTATTCGCGTCTTTAGGCACTAAATGGCTTAGTTTTTTTATGAAACTTTTCTCGTTTGAATTAGGCATACAATTAGCTATGCAACTGCTTTCATCCGGGAATTTATTGTCGGTGCTACAACCTTTCCAATCAGCTTGTATGCATCTCTTCTTCTTTCTTTCGTATGTATAAACGGGAATTATTTCGTCCGTGCATTTTGTGGTATTTAAATCTTTGTCGCAGTTGCCTGAAAATAATGTATTTATTGGAAATAAAAAAACTAAGAACAATACCAACGTTATGATTTAATTTTGATGATGCTTAACTTGTTAGTCTCTTAATTTAGGTAAAAACATGAAATTATCAATATATGCCTTTACTAGCTTTCGCCCGCGACTCTATCTGCGTCTAATTTAAAAAAAAAAAGTTAGTAGCCTATGTCTTCTTCTAGACTATGCTCCACATGTGTGCCAAATTTCATCAAAATCCGTTCAGCAGTTTAGGCTACAAACTCTAACAAACATTTTTCTTAGCATTTATAAGTTAGTTGTTGAGACTTACTTACTTTCATTATGCATTAGTACTTCCAAAGATGATTCTTCAGATGATTTTAAAAATGTAAATATACATGTATGGACACATTGATATTCGTCATCGAATTTATTTAATGTGGCACATCCTCTCCAGATCTCTATCTCACACCTAGAACCGGGTTTGTAGTATGAAAAAACTGGAGTCGATGTGCCCCCGCAGTCGCTTGTGTTTAAATAATGCTGACAATACAAAGGGGGTACTGAAAATTAAAAGAATTAAACATTAAGAGCTAATCCCACCAAATTGGAAATTGTCTGATAACAATCCAACATGTAAGATCTGTGATGGAAATATCAGATTTTGTTATCCTATCTGATAGTGACGTTATATTTAAGCTATCTGAGCATCTATCAGCCAGTGGTGGGACAGGCCCTAAATCAGTTTAAAACATTTCTCAAATATTGAAAGTTTTTAATGATAAATTTTACTATTTTCTTAGATTGTAATATTGAAAGAAATATTTTAGACTCTTTGGCCTTTGAAGAATTTTTTTGAAAAGTTGTTCTTACCTGATATAGATATATCTATAAAGTAAAAAATGTAAAATGCATTCCAGAAGCACACAACCTTTTTATTCATGTCAACAAAAATACGCGTTCATTATCGTTTCATTTGATTGAATTGTGGCCGAGTAATGAGTTAATTAAGAATTAAAAATCATTTAAAACCTCTTTCGTAATTAGCTCTTATCAAACGTTGTTTAGTTATAACTTTATAGTCATTTATACTTGAATTTGAGGAGTTACAATTAATAAACCCACCGTGGTTAGTTGCTAGTTCAATTGGTATTTCCGACATTTAAAAAAACATAATTAATGTTTGTAACATGAGCTATAATTGACACATTATAATATTTTTATCTTTACGTGTTTTTAAGATAAAAGGTAAAAAAGAGCAAAATGAAACTGCATCGACCGGGAATCGAACCCGGGCCGCCCGCGTGGCAGGCGAGCATTCTACCACTGAACCATCGATGCTACACTCAGTATTATAAAATATCTATTGTATTTGTAATCCAAACTTTTTAAATTAGATATTTTTTAATTTCACAAAGTTAAGTTCGGCTTGGTTAATTATTTAAATTCTTTCCAATATGTCGTGTAATTATTTTTTGTTCGTTTTGTATATACACTTTTAACAGCGACACCTCGTGTTAGTTGTAAGAAACGTTTACTCGTTGAAAATGTGTTTTAATGTTTGTCAATAGATGGCGGTTTCTAAGAAAACAACGACGTGTCTCATTAGCGTTTACTTCTAGTTATTTTATAGCGATTTGTACAAAATGCCATATTATTCTTTATAATAAAATTATGAATTATTTATTCGTAAGCGTATCCGACACAATTTTTATCCTAGTTTCAAATACTTTGTAAATATAGGCGTAAAATACCAATTAATTTGAAATAAACTTTATTCTCTATACATATTAAACAATATAAAATAATGCCTTATAATAATAAATTCGTTGCATTCAGTTGATCTTTTTCTGGCAGTTGCAATTGTACAATACCGTTTAGTCTACGGTTTGCCTTTCCCTTTTTTATTGTCAGTAGTTATCACTTCATCAATCGGTGAAACATCATTGCGATTCGTGAGCTTGTCTTTATCTTTTCGTGCTAAAATTGCTCCTATTATTATAAGGATTATCTGTAAAAAGAATATTAATATTTTATATGGCAGAGCCTAGTTTAATACTTAACAATACTTTTGCTATTTTTAAATTAAAGGCATTTTAGTTTTTTTTATGAGACGTTTATGTTCACATAAAATTTTGTTTTTAGATTATTAAAAATACGACTGAAATATTATTTATGTAAACAACAAAAAGTGGTTGATTAATTACGTTCAAATTATTAAGGATTTAAAAACGAGTTATATTACGAGACTGTAAATCGTCGCTAGATGTCGCTATTAGGGATAAAAATTCATATCTTTATATCCATAATTAAAAAACATTTAAATCTTACCTCTAGCAAAATCTCGAACATAGATACAATAAATAAAGTTTTCAGTGTTTCTTTAAAGACATTTATGATGAGGTTTCTACATCCGATATCGTAGTATTCCTTCTTGGCTTTGCATGATTCTCTCTCTCTTTCCTGTACGAGTTCTGACCTATCTGGGTCGTAGGAGGGACAACAAGAGATGGGGACATTCGCTGCAAAGTAAGCCGGGAAGTTGGGCGCCCGGTAATCTTCCGCAGAGTACACGCCGCAACAACTGAGCTGAAAAGTGACAACAAGCGTGAACAACAACGAAGAATGGTGTGATAACATACGTACTAGTAAGACTGTTGCTATATTTAATTTATTTTAGAGTAAAAATAAAATGAATTCCTAAGACATGATGTTTTGTTTTTAGAAGTTAGAAGTTAAGAGAAATAAAACGTTTTGAACGTTTTCTGTTATACCATGTTATACCATGACCTTAGAAAAGAATGGTGCGAGAGAGAGCAGACTCTTTTACAAGTTAACAAGCCGAAAACCGTTAGCTTTTATCCTTTACCAAAGTAATTTAAAGTAACCTCACATCATGCTGTGTCCGGGCCCAAATTTTCACGTGTCTAGGGTTGTCATCCCGCGCCAGTTTGAAGGAATCGGAGAGGAAGCGGCCCAGTTTCACCTCGTCGTCTGGCTTTACGTCCAAAGATACGCTCAGTATCACCGCTTGGATTACCGCTACAACCACCAGCACCGAGATTGCCTAGCAACAAGAATACTTTGTTAATTTCATATTTTTTTTTATTGTTTGTAAAGCGCCTGTCAGAAAATGATAAGCAATCATGATGAAAAAAGTCAACAATGGTTTTGTAGGTAATCGTAAATGTTTGGAATTAAATATTTTGACCTATTTAACTTTAGTATATAGAAGGAATGTAATTTCTATTTGCTTCCAATACTTTTTAAAGTGAAATGGAATTTCTAAAATATCTGTTCGACAAAAATCATAGCCACTTTTGGGCGTTTTTGTTACATTTTTCTTAAATCTAACCATACCTTTACACGGGGGCAATGATTTACTCGTAACAATTACGTGGTACGAGGTCGCGTTATCACGCGACCTCGTACCACGTAATTTGCCACTTTGTTTCGTGCTTTTACTAGTATACCATTTCACCGAACCCTAAGGTAACCAACTATAAAATGCCATTGTAGGACATTCACAGATAAAGTCACGTAACAATGTGAAATATGACTACTAAAAAGGATCGAATTAAAGATCATACTTGTAAGGAGTTAAGATCAAGAAACTTATATTTATTTTTAATTTTCGTAGAGTAAACTTCTGATATCAATAAATAAAAACTAAAGATTCTAAATTTCTTCATAATTATCTTCCCTTGGAACTTGATTTCAAGCGATATTAAAAATTAATATATCCTAACAATTTATTTTAACATGGTATCCCTATTAAAGCTGAATATTAATTCAGTTTCCCCCAAGGTCAAGGTGTTAACCACCCTAATTTACTTGGAAAAGCAATCACGGTGTTAATAACTTAAATTCGTATATAATCTTCATTTCACATTTAGTAACGAAACGTGGATTTTATATATTGATTCTTTTGAATGATTTCTAGGAATTAACTTTTTTAAATTTATTTATCTAACACTGCACAAATAATGCAACCGAAACTTTAATTAGGTAATTACTAGGTTTACGCAAGGGCGGCCTTATCGCTAAGAGCGATCTCTTCCAGCCAACCCTCTGGGACAGGAGAAGCAAGACAAACACACAAGAGTATAACATAAATGTAACATACACATAAATTGTGTACTAAAGTTACTTCTAGAAACTGCGACAATTCTTTCTTCAATTTTTATGTTTGTATTTTTAGACATATGTTTAAATCCCTTTGATAATACTGCAATAAGCGTTACCTAGTTATTTATTGTAATAGTGAAATAAAATTTATAAAAATATTGTGATGTAAAACCACACATAAAGTAAATCGGCACTCTACCGCCATTTTATTCTTCTTGACGTTTAAAAATGGCATTATTGTGGTTAGTTCAACTATAAATATAACTACTACATATTGTATAAAATTATTATGGGACTGATACTGGCACGTTCTTGGGAACCATAGTCCATATAAAAAAAAGAAGAAAAAACTACCACCATAGCCAAAGAATAACTATGAGTCTTTGTGATCAAAACATTGAGGTAGATTGAAGGTATGCTTGGATCAGTTACAATTGCTATCAGATATTTAAACGGCTGCGCAGATCAATTTTAGATATACCGGACCTTAAAAGGATGCTGGGAAAAAGGACTCCATGGATGATTTTTAGATCGTTAATATTTGAAAAGGCTTGTAACTGTCAACATTTTCCTGTCATCATTCAATCCATGATATACTCGTATAGATCACAAACGTTAGGTAGTTACCGATTGTACAGGTCTCCTATGCTTCCTGACCGCACCTATGGAGCCGTAGATGACAAAGGAGATGGTGATCGCGGCGGTAACAAGCATCACCACGATGGCCACCAGCCGCCCTGATAAGTCGTCGCTGTAGATCTTAATGGCCAGCGCTGACGTCACCGATACCACAATCACAGCTATTGATTGTAGCTGAAAGAAAAAGAACATAAAGGGTTAGAACTAGTGGAAAATGGGTTTAAGTTTATCGCAAATAAATAACTTTACTTTTTAGTTTTGACGCGGCAATATACAATACGAATTGTGGATCTCGAAAGATTTTACACTTAATTTGAATTCATATGTTCCTATAAGTTACTAAAATATTATTTTAGTCTGGTTGAACATATTTTAAATAGTTTGAAACTAGGTAGTGGAGGTTTAAGTTAGATTTACATACCACAGTAAGGAACCCAACAGCTAGGAACAATATCCTGAAGCAAATAGCGCAGCAAGCGCTTTTCTGCAGCCTCCGGAACTGCGGGGCGTACAGCTTTCCTAGCCCTTCGCCGTGGCTGCCGAGCCCGCCGTGACCGCTGCGCTGCGCCGCCGCATCACTCATCGCTTCTGGCTCTTTCGCTGTGAAAGAAAAACATGATAAGACATGAAGATTAGCTAGAATCGGCTTCTCGAAAAATTCTAGTCCAAGACTTTTGAAGCCCTACGACAACTACTAAAAGACGGACAATGGTAGATAGATGAATAATAGATAAGTTTAGTATTAAAATTTATTTAGATAACATAACTATGTAGTAGTGCAAAATAATTAAACAGTCTTAATGTTAGTTGTTACAGAGCTAAAAAAAGTTATAGGATGGGAACATAAACAAGAAAGTGTTAAATATGAATGTACGGATGCATTGTGCAAAAGTTGACGGCTGATAGAGATGTAGGGAAGAGCAGCACATACTGTGCTGATCCGTTGGGATTGGGACACGGGCAAGTTGATTATGAAGAAGACAGAGCTAGAAAACTAAGGTAACCTCTGGCCAAGGATGTGATAATTTAGACTTTGCTTGTTTATTTTTTTTGCAAAATACTTGCAAATAGGATTTGGTTTTAAGTGCATTATGTTGTTATTCCAAAATATATTACGTCCGAAGGGTACTGATGTTGTTGGCGTTGTTACGTTATATAAATGTTTGTATAAATTAATTACAATAAATAAATAAAGTAAAGTTACCTTGAGCCTTGCCTGACTTTCCCATGTCTTCCCGAAGCGCGGCGTGTACTGTGAGCGCAGCATTCGACCCACCTGCGTATATAAGCGTATTGTAACAGAACAATGCAGCCACGAGCTGTAACGGACGAACGCACCAACGGACGGATGCATCGCTTCAGAACTATAATGCGGTATAAAGTTATTCATTGTTACTCTCGATACAGATTGAAATGGGAAGCGATCGATTTAATATATGTCTGTCTTCACTAGTCCTAGGAATAGATGGATTGCGTGACTTAGATCGTTCTGAAAGATGAAAACACGGAGTACTAAATTCAAAGTAGGACAAGCTAAGGACGCAAGGGAAGAACCTTACATTTCCCGAAGAAAAACAAAACTATTCATTTATTTTTTTAACATAGTATTTCAAGTAGTTAGATAAGCTATTTCGTTTATTAAAAACTAGCTTTCGCCCGCGAATCCATCCGCGTGGAATTAAAAAAAACAAAACTGAGTACCCTATGTGTTCTTCTAGACTATCCTCTACTTCTATGACAAATTTCATCGAAATCCGTTCAGCCGTTTACAAACTCTAACAAGCATCCATCCCTCCATCCATCTAAACATTCGCATTTATAATATTAGTATGAAGTATGATATTAGGAAAACAATCGAAGTTTTAAAACTGTAGTTTCTTCCTCATCCATCCCAAAATGCGAATTTAAAATTAAATATGTTTTTAAATATTGTCATGAAAATTATCATACTAAGAGTAAGATTAACAGCAAATGTTTATGTAACAAATTCTTTATCCGTGATATGATAAACGAAATTTTCAATTCGTGCGGAAATACTTAAGATGTCTGTACAAAGGGTCAGTTCAATATTCGCCGAGTTTGAAAACCTTTTTATAACGGCAAGCTAATAAAATTAACACCAATACAAATAAAATTTAATTTCCTAGATTACATTTACGTTCAATTAATATTATGAAAATAAAAATATTTCAGCTGCATAAAAATATTATAACTATATTTATTCTCATTATAAAAAATAAATGTTGCCTACAACTAATCTATAGTAATATAATAAAGCGTAAACAGACACTTCTTTGTTGCCTAAGATGTCAGCAATTACAGCATATTTTTATATAATTCTATTTTTAATAAAAAGCCCTACACTTACGTCACGCTTTAGGCTACATATTCTCACGCCGTTAAACTTAGGTGTAAATATCTTGGATAAAAACCCTAATGTGGGAAAGAGACCATAAGTTATTGCTAACATCAAGAAAGAAAGATTGCTAAGGTTTGTCATGCCATGTAATTTTGACATTTGCAATTGATAATTTGACAAACGTAAACAGTAATATAAAATTTTCATAATTTCATGCGGATGAAGCACTGCAACAGCTAGTGCGGAATAAAAAAAACTATTAAAAATTAATTTAAAACACCATGTTTTACATCTGTACCATATTTCATCAAGATCCGATGAACCGTTCCGGAGATATCTCCTTGCAAACATCCATCCATCTATCCATCTAAACTTTCGCATTAGTAAGATTAGACACTTCTATATTATAGCGTTCAGTGGAATTCATTCTTATATTCAGTAATGCAGAACAATCGCTGCTTTGTAAAATATTTTTGAACGTGTGATAAACCACCCTCCGTTTCATTTGGTTGCAATCAATGCTGTATGCATCACAGATCAAGCCAAGCAAAACCATGAAGTGACGCAAATAAGGATATAAAAATCACTTCGCGAAATCACAAAGTAATGAACTAGCAACTTCAACAGTGGTAGTGCCCGCTTAACAGTGGTAGTGCCCGCTTTAACATCTTCGCACGAATGGGCCGGCTCGCCCGGTGTAATACCACGACCACACAGAAAACAGGCGTGAAGTGGAAGCAATTCCGCGTTTCGTCTGATGAGTGTGGTGCCGGAGGCCTAACTTTAGTCCCTTTTCCTTTCCACCCTTTTCTTAAGGGGAAAGGATGGGAGGGAAAAGTGGATTTGACGGTGGAGGAGACGCATAGGAAGGGAAATGTCCTCTTTATGTGCGTCTCCTCCTCCGTCAATTAGGGTAGGCAACGCATCTGCAATTGCGGATGTTTATGGGCAGCGGTCGCTTTCCATTTCGGTGGATTTAGGTGGCCGCTTGCTCGTTTGTCACCTCGTATTATAAAAAAAAAAAAAGCCCTTTACAGAGAGACTGAAAACTCACGAGAGTTACCAACCAATTATTAAGGCAAGATCCAGAAGGAAAGAGGAAGTTTTGGAGTTTGTAAGGGAGTAGCAGCCCCCTGTCTCCCCCTGTCGACGACCAGGGTAACTATTATTATAAATAAATAAATATTTTATTTTAATGGTGATAATATCCTAAAGAGGGAAATTCCATTGCAATATAAAAGTTGTAAAAGAATAATGTTGTGAAGGATAACATTTTACAATTTCATAAAATGTCTTAATTCTGAATCATACTTATTTAAATAAACCTAATAACATGTTGATAACGGAGAGATGAATATAACAGTGAGTTTACACTGCCTAAACCCGAACGACATTTTTGTCTCACTTAAATGGGAATAAAAAAAGATATATTAATGTACGAATTGCGTCAGTGGAAACAGACGGTAAAATTATCACAGAGTTAACTGATTGACTTATCTTTAAAATGGGATTTAATTATAAAAATTAGCTATACATTTTTTCACAGGTGTTCTGTCTGTAGAAACCTACTGTTATAAGACAGTGAACATCTGTCAATCCCGGATTTCCTTGTTACACTATTTTAATTATTCATATAAAAACCATTTCTATGACAAAGTTATTATGCATTGCTACGCTTTTGTTTAAATACAAGTCTTAAAATATGCAGTTATAGTCACTTTACGACAATTTTGAATGGTTTTGTAATACACACACCTAAGTATTTCTCTATTACAGTAAGACAGTAAGTAAGTACAGTGTTCTACAATAGTTGAGTTAGTATTACTGCTGACAGAGATGTACGACACAGTACTACATATTTGTTGAAGAATCAACGAAGGGACGTCAAGTAAAGAGTAGCAATAAATATATTATTTTCCCTTCCTAGTGTTCCCTAGCATCGCCAAGTCCACTTTTCCTTCCCATTATTTAAAACTAGCTTTTATTTGCGACTTCGTCAGCGTGTACTTAAAAAAAACATAAGTAAGTAGCCTATGCGTTCTTCTACACTATCCTTTAGTACCAAATTTCATCGAAATCCTTTCGGCCGTTTAGTCTACAAACTCTAACAAACATCCATCCATCTAAATGTTTGCATTTATAAAATTAGTATGATAGGGCAAGGGGAAGCATTTAAATCAGTACCAGCTCGTGACTCCGTCAGCGTGTAATTAAAAAAAAAATTAAGTAGTCTATGCGTTCCTCTACACTATCCACTACATCTGTACCAAATTGCATCGAAATCCATTAAGCCGTTTACAAATTAAGTCGCTACAAACAATAACAAACATCCATCCATCTAAAAAATAAGAAACTCACCCGAAGAACAAACCAACACAGCTTTCTGTACACCACTGACAATGTAAAATTTAAAATAAAGATATACTATTGACATAATTTAAACAGAAACCCAGAAATAGACTTCATAACAGAATCGCGAGCGCACTGTTCACTGGTACAAGATAATATTTTTTATCGTGAAGTGAAGGAGGTTTATTAAATAAATGTTAGAACAATAAACATACGTCGCCTCAATAAAGCAGTTAGCACATCAGACGTATCGACGTGCGTAAATATAGCAGTGCTAAATGTTTATATGAGATTGTAGCGATTTGATGCCACACCTCTTAAAATGAATCCATTATAAATATATTTTTATTATGAAAACCTTACAGATGTATTCTGTACCAACCCAAACTGTAAGTTGATGCAATGTTGTCTTTAAGTGGTCTTTTATCGTCGTAATTCAATACTAGGCAGTTACCTAATATGATTAACTAGCCGTTCCCGTGCGGCTTCATCCGCATGGAATTATGAAAATTTTATTTTATCGTTTACATTTGTCAAATTATCAATAGCAAACGTCAAAATGACATCACATGACAAACCTTAGCAATTTTTCTTTCTTAATGTTGGCAGCAACTTATGCTCTCTTTCCCACATTAGGGTTTCTATTCAAAATATTTACACCCTAAGTTGAATGGCATGAAAATATATAGCTTAAAGCTTGAAGTAAGTGTAGGGCTTTTTATTAAAAGAAAGATTAATTCAAAAATATGCTGTAATAGCTGAGATCTTAAGAAACAAGAATTTAAAACGCTTTATTATAATAGTATAGATTAAGAGAAGTCATTTTTGTCTTCGAATTGACATTTTGGCACCGAAAATAGCTAGGCTATTGGCGCCTCTAAGGAACATTATGCACTAATCGAAGGTTGCCGCTTAATAAGGTACTAAATAATTAAGGGAAGATTACCGTGTATTATTAAAAGGAACTTGAAAAGTGCCAGTTTTTAGGTCTGTAACAGTTACTTTTTATTTTAGTTACACACAGTCGATGTAACAACTTCAATAAAAAATACATTTACCTTCATATAAAGGCTTTTATCAGCTTAGCGGTACGGTTAGATTGTGTAGCTATTGCCCGAAATAGGTGAAACTTAGGTTTAGATAAAATCAAAATTTAAGACTTTAGCGTTTATTGCGGTGCTTGATCGAGAAAGTGGTGGTTACGAGTACTGTCAGCAAGACAAGTAAAGTGTTACATTTATTTCAATAAATTAAAAGAAAATATTTCTAATAATTCACTAGTCTATAAATAATGAACTTGTATACGGATTTTCTCAAGTCACTTTATGTTTGCAAAGTATTAGTTAAGTAACTAGTATGTAAGTATACATATTTTGATGCTATAATAAATTTAAAACAAATAAATAAACTTTAAACAATAATTTAAGCTTACTTTTCCATGTTGAAATTCATAAATTATAGGAAGTCAAGAATGTTAAAACATATAGGTATATAATAATGTTAAAATCACTTTTGTTACCGACTGTCCGGTCGTAGTTCACAACTATAAAGGCAAGTTGGTGCTACCATCAGGTTTCCATGGCAACCATGACCACAACACCACGCACAATGGTCGACACCCCATTGCCGACAGCTCAAGGACAAGATACGAATTTGCAAGAACTAATGTTTTTCGATTGAATTTCATACAAAAGGGTTGAAGATATCGTTATTGAGTACTCATATTGTTACAGACTGAACTACTTACTATAGCTAGAAAATTGGTAACATTGAAAGTATACTTGATAAAATGAAATGTCACTGCATTGTGAAATAGTTTCAATCCTACTTATATCCGCAGTGCTACTCACACAAAATCTAATGTTAAAATTTCAAGTCCCATTCTTTCATTTATATCTTAACCAGGTGTTGCTCACGACTTCACCCGCGTGAAATTCAATAATTTAGCCTATGTTACTCACGGATAAATTACCTTTCTAACGGTGAAAGAATTTTTATAATCGGCCCAGTAGTTTTTGAGTTATTTCAATACATACAAAAATACAAATCTTTTCTCTTTATAATATTAGTATAGAGTATAGATAAGAATAAAATGTACTGAAAACCATTAAATCAGTCTTAATCTGCCTTTTGGCCGCAACCGTTAATTATTAAACGAATATTGTTAAAGACTAGATTAGGCCACCTACTCCGTCAACTTGGAAGTAAAAAAACTAAAGTCAATAGTCTATGTGTCCTTCCAGACTATCCTCTACATCTATACCAAACATCCAAATCTGTTGAGCCGTTTAGGTTACAAACTCTAACAAACATCCCTTCACATCCGTACATCTAAACTTTCGCATTTATTATATTGATTATAAATTATGATTTATTCCAAAATGATTACGATAAAGTGTCGTGATTCTATCAAGGTCAAATTACGTAGTGGCAATGATCTTCAAAACATAATTACATTCGTGTCAGGTTCAAAGCCATTAAGCTATAATAATAAAAAAAAAAAAAACCTAACGCCTACCTGATAAGAGTGTCATATGCCAAAGCGTTTACTCCTTAATTTATGAGCTTTTTTGTTTTATGAAAATAATTACTTTAACAAGATCTTTGATTTCGATTAGGGTCCCTTATTCTTTGTTAAAAAACCATAATTTAATATTATTTTACTGCTATTTGATTTTACACACTTAGTTTTTTTTCTTTCAGGACACAAATAAAAAGGAAACTGGTAGTTTTCTACCTTAAAATAAAATATTTATAGGTTAAGTTTTTCCATCTCCATAGTTATCTGTTGCAAATATTTTAATTATAAAAACACTATAGGGAACCATTTTTTTTTTAATTCATAACTATAAAGTCAACGAACCTAAAAGTAGCTAAGAAATGAAACCCTAGGAGAGGTATTGACCCTAGAGGTCAGGGTACCTTTTAGTGGATGTAATCGGTTGCCGTGGCAACGGTTTTCTTTTATTAGCTCATATGGTTAAAGATAAAATCAGCTACATATTTATTGAAACTTCAGAATATGTTATCATGATTATTCTGATATAATAAAGAGTATTTAATCTCTTCGCTTCTAATAACTGTAACAATAAAATATTATTTGAAAAGAATTTCAACTTGAAATCAGAAAATTTTCTAATTCGCGGAAGGTACTAACTAAATAGGAATGGATGCCCTTTAATTTAGCAAAGCGCCAAAGATTCATTTCAAAGTACAATAATGACATAAAACAATTACTTCTCGATATAACCTATCTATCGATAATTACATGCAAACCTAGGTAAGATCCAAATATTACGTTTTAAAAGCTGTCGCGCACAGGGCTTGTCAAACTGTGCAATATGTCTTATGTTAGTGTTAAAAATTCATTACGAAACATAATAGCTAAATTTTTAATGATGTATGAAAGACGATTCCAAAATCTTGTAATAAAAATCAAAGATTAAACGCTATCATATTGCTAATTGTGTTTTTTACCTAACACGTGTAAAGTTAAGCCTATATTTAAAAAATGAAAATCCAACACTTTGAGAAACGCTGACCTAGTGCGTGACTTCAGCCCTTCAGCGAGTCCACGCCACCGAATGGAGTACTAAAACCCTGCGACTTTGGCGTCAGTGACATTCGTCTAAGAACACAAGCCGGCGCCACACGAGTGCGCGCTGCCACAACGCCCGGACGTATTAAAAAATTTCTGACAGTTCTTTTTAATCTGTGGACGCTTTGTTTAATCTGTGGCTAACGTGTTGCCCGGCTGTCAAAAATGGAGGGCTGCGGGATGAACTGCATCAAATATCTTCTCGTTGTTTTCAACGGATTGTTTTTAGTAAGTTATTTTTAAAATAATTATTTATATATTATATATTGATTTTGGTGTAGTTATTAATTATTTTGTTAATTTCAATTTCACTATTGAAATTTTATTTTAAAATTTGTAAAACAATATTAAATACGACTCAAATTTATAAGTACCTACTTCAATCGTTATTTTTTTCTTTTTAATTTTCTTATTATGGAAATTAAAACGTTCTGATTTTAATTTATCGAATATACCATGATAAGCTGACATCCTGTCACATTTTATCTTAACTTTAGTAAAAATTACATTACTTTCTGTCCTTTTTAATTGAAAATGATTCTGTAACATCCTTGTTAAATAGTTAACGCAAATATTGTTATAATTGTTCAATTTGTTTATTAATGGGGAGAATTAGCGACAGGAAATGGCGGCTCGTGTGTTAACACAAAACCCGTTTAATTAAACTTTTCTTGCAATGCAACATCCGTGCAGCTTGTATTATAATAGACTAGCTGTTCCCGTGCGGCTTCATCCGCATGAAATTATGAAAATATTATATTGTTTACGTTTGTCAAACTATCAATAGCAAATATCAAAATGACATGACAAACCTTGGCAATCTCGCCTTTCTTGATGTTGGCAGCAACTTATGGCCTCTTTCCTACATTAGGGTTTTATCTAAAATATTTACCCCCTAAGTTTAATAGTGTGAAAATATATAGCCTAAAGCGCGACGTAAGTAAAAAAAGGATTATTCAAAAATATACTGTAATTGCTGACATCTTAGGCAACAAAGAAGTGTATGTTTACGCTTTATTATAATAGATATATAAAAGAATACAAACATACACCTATTAAAGAGATTTTTTAAATATTGTGAATAAAGTCACCTTGTCTATACTTACATATATAACCGCAACTCGGAGATTTTTGTAATTTTGTGTTGCAATTAAAATTTTCAATACATTATCATATTGTAATGCTATTTTAAGATAGTAAGAAAAACTTACCGATAACCGTCCAATTTTCAAACTCGTTATATGTTACTCTAACCATATTTTAAAAGAGACTACACTGTGACGAATAATATAATTTATGACAATAAAAAGTATGTCACGTTACTTATATGTCAGTATAGTGTACATCTTCACAAGACAACTGGTTTTACCTTTATTATTCAACTGTAACAGGAAAACCCTTGTAAAATGTACGGGAAGTATATTTGACAATACAATAAGTACTTAAATGTTTACGTGACCAATATTTTGTATGTCATCAATGTCGTCTTCTAACTCCATTTTTTTCCTATACGCAATACACCAATTTGATACATTTTACTTTATGAATGACTAGCTGATGCTTGCGACTTCATTCGCGTACTTCAAGATTTTCAATGGTGAAAGATTTTTTAGAATCTGTCTTATTGTTTTTGAGTTATTTCATTACATATAAAAATCCAAACAACCAAATCTTTCCTCTTTATATTAGTACTAGCTTTCGCCCGCGACTCCATCCGCGTGGAATTAAAAAAAAAAAACAATATTGAGTAGTCTATGTGTTATTCCAGACCATCCTCTACATCTATACCAAATTTCATCAAAATCCGTTCAGCCGTTTAGGCTACAAACTCTAACATCCATCCATCCATCCATTCGTCTAAACTTTCGCATTTTTTTTAGTATTATAGATATAAACAAATGAACGGCGCTACGCGATTTGTCGGACAAATGTATGTGCGACATCTATGATTTCAATATTGGTTTCTTAGTATGATTTTAAATGTAGTTAGCACATAAGATATAGGTTTGTAAGCGTTTCTAAGGAGCTGAAGCAGTTCTTAAAAAAACCCTACTTACCCCATTGGGTCCCATGCGTTAATCCATTTATTTTAAAAGACATCGACATGTCAGCGTCCAACCACAGTCTGCTTTTGTAAATATTTAAATAGGATTACGGATACATATATTTACAACTGAATTTCAACGCATGATATCCCCCTTTACGTAATTTATTATCACGTCTGGTGATACTTTGAAATTAGCTAACGGAAAATGACAAATATATAAATATTACATCGTTTATTAGTGTTTATAGTATACATGTTAATATTTATGTGAAAGGAAAACGCGTAAATTCAACACTAAATTTTTTTCAGTATTTTTTAGTCCTTAATTTTGACTTGTTTATAAAACTGGATGATGTAACTTATAGCAATTCATTCAATCTATCGTATAGTTATTCGTTTACGTTTCCACCTCCCTGCTAAAAGGCTTAGAGTCTAAGCTAAGTCTAGCAGTGGTAGTGCCCGCTTTAACACCTTAGCACGAATAGGCCGGCACGCCCGGTGTAATACCACGACCACACAGAAAACAGGCGTCAAATGGAAGCAATTCCGTGTTTCGTCTGATGAGTGTGGTGCCGGAGGCCTAATTTTAGTCCCTTTCTCTTTAACACCCTTTTCTCACAAAAAGAGGATGGGAAGAGAAAGTGGATTTGACGGTGGAGGATATGCATAGGAAGGGGAAATATCCTTTTTATGTGCGTCTCCTCCTCCGTCGGATAAGGGTAGGCAACGCATCTGCAATTGCGGATGTCTATGGGCAGCGGTCGCTTCGCCATTTTGCCGGATTCAGGTGGCCGCTTGCTCGTTTGCCACCTTATGTTATAAAAAAAAACCCCAAGTTTCCTAAAAGGCCGCCAACGCATCTGTAGTTCCTCTGGTGTTGTGTCCATGGGCGTCGTTGACCACCTCTGTGTCCCCGCCGCTTTTTTACCCCTTTCCCTTAAAAATGGAGTGGTAAAAAACATCACGCTTGATGTATAGCAAGATATTAACGTTTTAAAATTGATAAAAGAGGTTTTTTAGGCACCGTGACTCAGAATGTAAGTTGACTCATAAACCTATGAGGTTTTGCGCGTGAGGTTTATGAGTATTGATAATTATGTCGTAGTCTGTTATATTATTAGTATTAGTAAACTAATTTCTAGTAAGATTTAATCTCATATCCAAGGGAAACAAATAAAAATGAGTAAAAATTGGTTTATAATGCGCCTAAAATATTGAAGCCTCGCGAGTAGCAAGTAACGAAATCATTAATTTTGAAATAGTGAAACCTGCTTTGTCTTGTTGGTATATGTTTATGTATTCTATACTATATAATCTAAAATTTTAAACCTTCCTGCATAGCAATAGCCGTCAAATTCAAATTAAAACATCGTTTCATTAGACAGCTTAATACAAGGCCCAATTATAGTCCCTTTCCTGTTCTACCCAATTCTTTTAAGGAAAGGATTGGATGGGAAAATGAATTTGACGGTGGAGGAGTCGCAAAGGAAGGGGAAATATCCTCTGCAATTGCGGATGTTTAAGGGCAGCGGATCTCTTCGCCTTTTTAGCGGATTTAGGTAGCCGCGTGCTTGTTTGCCACCTTATTACATAAAAATAAAAAAAAATCCTCATGTAAATTCTCTGCCATATTGTACATAAGAATACAGCATTGTATGTTTACTTATACACGCTAATGAACTAGAATTTAGCAAAACATTAATACGTGACGTTATCAAAAGAAGTAATTTGTGGCCGACACTTTGATGTATAATTTAAACTCGGATTGCGCCAGTGAGTCACGCAAACAACAAATCACTTTGATGTATTCAGGAATTAATTAAAAGGAAAGAATAGTGTTAATTTAACAACTACACTTATTGTCTCCTGAGATCCACGGAACAAACGGGGGTTCATCGCAAAAAATATGGGAAGGGTTCACAAAAAGATGCTGTTACAGGGTTCATCGAAATCAGAGTAATTATGAAATGGGTCTAAATAATTTCGAAGTTTTTGAATAATAAAGAAAAGATAGAAACGAAAGAAAAATGCAAACCAGAGTTTCACGTTAGATTTGGTTTCGTTTTAAGCGACATTTCCCTAATGGTTTGGGGTTCAGATTACCGATCTTGCAGTCGACGGTTCGAATCCGGCCATTCGACTATTGTCGTGAACCATATCCTAGCACAAGCCTAGAGCTTAGTTGGAATGGTTAAAGGAAATATTAGTAAATTAACAAAAATCTACTAACATTCTTATTATTAAAAAAAATCAACCAAATCTGTACCAATACAAGATCATATTAAAATTGGGTTCGCTTCAGACTGTCACGACACGAATATGTGTGACAGTTGTGAAAACGTATTCGTAATGTCATCGATAAAATTTGTATGACATTTATTAGTTTACGCCGGTAAAGGTGCTGTATGAAATAAATACAAATTTTATCAATGTAGTTAAGAAAATGTTCACAAAAATATTCGTAATAAGCCCTCAATCCAGTCAGATTGTATCTGTCAAGGCTGAACAAGACTATTGCTTTGTCCTTGTTGATTCATCTGCTCTAATCAACGGACCACATGTTACTAATGCCTTTTAAGCATCATTTACCTAAAACAGAGCTTGTGATAGATATATCCCTGTGTGGTAATTGGATCATTCTTTGAATTAAACGAACATACTAAACAAAAAAACATAAAACGATAATGGCATTTTTCATTTCGCATTTAAAAACCCATATGACAATAAAACTGCGTAAAATTAATAACAAACATTTACTATTAACTTTATTTCTGTCTCTACTTTAGTAACTGTTAATTTATTCATCAAGGACGTATCTGTTTGTTTTACAAATAGAAAAGGGACTTCTTTGTTATATAATCTCTCACGTGTGCTATTAGTTGAAAATCGAATCAGGGCTCTGCATATTCGAATAAACCATACGGACCTATATGTTACATACTTCATTCGAAGCTTCCTGTTGAATTCTTTTCTTGACTACAAAGTAAATTCTGAACATTATTGGAGTAGTGTCTTGATGAAGTTTGAATACATTTTTTTCTATAAATCCAACGTTCTTTGGTGAAGCAAAATTGTGCTGTCTTCGTGTGTATTGAAATTCAACAATAACTTCGCACACATCCACCAATCCGTATTGGGCTAACATGTTTAGTTACCTAAGGCCTAGTTACCTTATTTTAGC